CCGGTTGTTAATTAACTTTCCGTAACTTCGTTCCGACGAAACTTGCGACACAAGTTCTTTACTTAATAAAACTGATTTATTCTTTCAGAATATAACTTTACCTATACACTCAACTTCAACAATCGCGTTAAAACAAACGCTAATCAACGAACGTCAACAATACTTCCGACTGCAGTTCAGTTACTCACTATCTACCCAGACACGTTACATTCCCCTCTTATATATATCCGCCTACCCTATATCTAGTAAGAACTAGAACATTCGCCAAGTAACAGGATAATTCAAGAAAGGAGAGAGCGTGAGAATCACATGATCTCGATGACGCAACAATACTAAATATCACGTGTCTTAAAACTATAATGTTACGTCTCCGTTTGTTAATTAACTTTCCGTAACTTCGTTCCGACGAAACTTGCGACACAAGTTCTTTACTTAATAAAACTGATTTATTCTTTCAGAATATAACTTTACCTATACACTCAACTTCAATAATCGCGTTAAAACAAACGCTAATCAACGAACGTCAACAATACTTCCGACTGCAGTTCAGTTACTCACTATCTACCCAGACACGTTACATTCCCCTCTTATATATATCCGCCCACCCTATATCTAGTAAGAACTAGAACATTCGCCAAAGTACAGGATAATTCAAGAAAGGAGAGAGCGTGAGAATCACATGATCTCGATGACGCAACAATATAACACCACTTTTATTATATATACCTTTAAAGTACCTTCAGAGTGTGCCGATAATTGTTTCTTTAATTTCGCGCAAAGCAACTCGAAGAATATCTGTCCCAGCTGTTTCTAATTTAGAAGTGATAAACTAGAGGGAAAGCAAATGGCCAACACCATTCACTGTCATTCTTATAGAATAGAGCGATTTACTGTAACATTATAGCGACCTAAAGCCTAAAAGGGTTAGTTTGTTTGATGAAGGAATTCAAACCCACAGATTACGAGTCAAGCGCCTTAACCACCAGGCCGTGAACTAACTAACTCTGAGAATGTGAATACAAATATTTATTATATCTACATGTCGAAAAAGGTGCTACAGTGGCATATAAAATATTTCCTTGAGAATTTGCCAATGTCATCTTATTGCTAAATTTTTGTATGTTTTTGGTTTTGTTTCATACTTGTTTATATATATATATATAGTTTAAACTATAGTAATATCTTCATGTCTGCTGATGAAGTGTGATGATCCGAGGATAAGCCTAACAAACAGTTACCCGATTTTCGCAATAACAGGGTCATTGTGTTGTATGTATATTTATGGCAAAGTTACTAAGACTATCTGTCACTCTCCTTAATTTTGACCTACTGAATAGAGGGAAAGCAGCCATATAGCAACATCCTATCATTCATATTAAAATGTACCCACATTTTGTAGTGCAGAGAACTGCTCTAATATTGCACATACTTGAACCTGTCTGACCAACTCTAAAATCCTGAGCGCTACCACAGGGACAATCCACGCCCTAGAGTGGCTGGTTAACTAAAACAAAAAGTTGTGCAGACGATCTGCTGACTAAACATTATATATATATTAAGACAAGGATGAGATTCATCAACAGGTCTTAAATCTTTAAGTAAGACATGCATCCACTTAAAAATGTCAAAACTACTTATATATGCCACATTCTTTCTGTAGCTGATAAATTATAAAACTCATTCACAAGTATATTGGAATATCTCTGCATCATCTGGCAGTTGATGAGCAATCATACATACATAGTGTTACGTCTCCGTTCGTTAGTTAATTTTCCGTAAAAATTCTTCCCGAAGAATTTTACCGATACAAGTCCTTTCTTAAATAAAACTGGTTTATTCTTTCTGAATATAACTTTGAGATACACTT